GAGATGGGGAACCACTGGGCTTGTCTAGGCGTAAGATGCAAGTGTTTGGAACTAGAGCAGCAGGTGACATAAAATCACAGGTGTAGATTTGGAAGGAAGGAAGCTGTCGTTATCTAATCGAGGGAGGAGACAAAATTGAAAACTCTGGATTTTTCTTTCAAGCCACTTGGGGAAATCAAAGTACTGTTTAGTGAAACACAAAAGAGATCATAAAAGACTTAGTGAGATGTGTGAGTCTGCTTCACACACATCAATGGAGAATATATATATATATATGTGTGTGTGTGTGTGTATGTGTATATGTATATGTATGTATGTATGTATGTATGTATGTATGTATGTATGCTGGCCACCTGACCTGGAATACAGTCAAGTAATATTGGTAGTATTTAAGGTAAGAGGAAAGAAGAGAATTAACCAAAATAATAGTAAGGCCAGGGAGAGAAATAATTGAGCAAGGGTAAACTCAGAAAGAGTCCATGAAAGCTCTCCTAAAGTTGAGGAATGTAAAAGGAACTGAGAGAAAATTTGAAACCACCTGACAATTTATAAGGTATGTAAAATGAGAAAAAAAATCATAAAAAAAGAGAACACTAGCAAGGTGTTACCAACAAGAGTACCTATGAGTAAATAACTATCTTTCCACTTACTTCAAATTTTTTTTTTACTTGAAATATAATCCTCATAGCAGCCTCCTACCCATACCCACTAAGTGAACAGTTACATAGATAGTCACTAAGTGTAGACTAAGAAGCCTACTGACTTCTCATAGTACGAAGTTGTTTCCTATTCAAAATACAAGGACATCACATGATCAAGGGTAGTAAATTTGTTTCAGACTACTAAATATCTGTAATTGGGAACTTACTTAGCAATGTGTCACTGTCCTTGGAGTATTAAGGGTGTGAAAGTTTTATATTCCTTTTGCTTTTTTTTTGAAGACCACGAGAACATCTCTATAAGTATACGTTTGAGTTTACTTAGTTCAACTCAGATCCCAGCAGAGACCATTCAAAGCTCCTCAGATCTAGACTGCCTTTGGCAGGAATGTACAATGCCCAAATGCCAATAGCATTTGAGAATAGCATTTGAATAAATGTTAGACTATGCACTTCAGAACAGTATTTATCCAGTTCACTTTTTGTTCAAAATGCCCGAGACACAACCTGGATAATGAGAGTATAAGGCCCAGCTTTGTAAGCCCCTCCTTGAACCAGATTAGCATTTGAAACCTGTGGTTATTCCACTGTTGAAAAGCTCTTCTGGGGAGAAATGTTCCCAGAACTCAATATGTTAATGTGTTATTGACACCTAGTCCCCTACTGAAGTGATTTTTTTTTTAAATTTCTAAGTATTCTTGAACCAAAAAGTCTAAATGTCTAAAAAATGTTTGGCATTTTTGAACCAAAATAACAAAACAGCTTTAAACTAATATTATTCTTAATTTGTGTCTGAGAAATTACAGAGTGGAATAAGGCACCTTGAGGATTTGAGGACTGACAGAATTTGAGACCATAATCATCCACTTTTAGCACTTGGTCCTTGATATCCAAAAGAAATAGGATGTTTTAACAGTCTACATAAACATCCTGGTGGTATTTCACAGGTAACACTCTGAATAACAGAAACTAATTTCTAAGAAATAGAAAATCCAGACTTACTGTGTATAAGCTGTACAAGTATTCTGGGGATCGGAATAATGTTCCCAACTTTCCAAGTCATGTAATAGTTCCCTGAAACAGACAGAAATACATGAAAATCCTACAATGGTGATATTATTTCTTGTTTCCATTCTGGCAGTTCTACATTGATTCTGGTACAATACCTCCATCTGATGATGTTCTCAAAAAGTGAAGTCACTGTTAGAATTACTACCAGAAACACATACACATACACACACACACACACACACACACACACACACACAGAGAGAGAGAGAGAGAGAGAGAGAGAGAGAGAGAGAGAGAGAGAGAGAGAAAGTAAAGCAAAATATCATTTCCTAAATTATTTAGGCAAAGTACTTGTTTAGCCACATTTTATCAAAATATTAATGACATTGGACATTTTATATCCCAAGCTCCAAATCAGAATGATCTGTCCTTAGAACAGAACAATTATACCCAACACTTTAAAACCTCATAAACCAAGGCTTTTCACGAGATAATGAATCTGGCAGTGTGCAATCAGGGTTTGAGCCATGAGAGTTTTGAGAAACACTTGCTGGACCCAAAATGCAAATGATTAATCTTCATGGTGATGTAAAAGTCTCACGCATGAATTTAATTTACAAAAAGCATGCATAGTTAAGATAATTATTTTTTTATTGTTAAAAGTAAAGATTCTCCCATGGAAGGCCTCACCCTCCCTGGAGAGCAGGAAAGGGATGAAATTGGGGGGGGGGCAAGGAAGGAGGGGAGGGTGAGGGAACTGAGATTGACATGTAAAACAAGCTTGTTTCAATTTAAATTAAAAAAAATATCCAAAAAAAGTAAAGAGCTGTAAATTTGACCAATATGGACCATACTAAATATACAGTCAGTTGAAAGTTCCTCAAGTAAAAACACTTAAAATATGAAAAATAATTATGGCTATTTTAGCAATAGCTTTAGATTCAACTAGATGAAATGAGTAGTTTAAGAATGCAATTGGTATATTCTTACACATTTTCCTATACTTTTGTAAAGCACAAAGCATTCTTTCTTTTAAGAAGTTTGTTTTGGTTATTTTCTTTCTCAATCCTTATGACTAACACTAGTTCCTGCTCTGAAGTGCCCTAACTAGGACTGACCTGAGGATGACCCTGTTTACATAAAGTCTTTCCTTTTGTCATCACCCTATTGGGTGAAAAGTGGGAGGGAAATAGAATATGACTCTTAGTACTAATATCCTATAATTAGTCTCAGTTATTTATCCTAGGTCTTCTCTGCAGCAAAGGGGCCAAGAAAGACTAATTGCCAAGCAAGAGTTGACTCCAGGTGAAGGTAATGGTTCAACTGTCCAGGGCAGTGATGTATAGCAGTTGCATGGGGTACCATGGAGGTCATTTTGGAATCACACTTTCTTCCTTTAGCCCTGATTGCTAAGCTTAAATACATCTAGATATCAATTCAGTGTTAATTTCTAACTTAGACATTAGACTTTAGGTAGTTTTATGAACAAAAAAAAAATTATGTTTTTGTCTTTAAGTCTAGACAAGACTGTGAATTCTAATAAAAATAAACTTATAAGAAACCTACTGCTCCTGTAGGCAAATAGAGAGGGCAAATTTCTCAAGAAACTGGGACTATAATAATTAGTCAGATTAGTCCAATAATTATCTTTAAATCTTACTTCTATTTAAAACTCATAATTCGTTTTATTATAGTGTAATTACTATATTTTATTTTGCTACACTGTATGCCTTTCAAAGCTGAATTAATCAATTAATTTCACAAATGATGTTTTCTTAGGAATAGTTGGAGACAAACACAAGCACTCACTAGTATGTAGCTGGTACATATAATAGAGTCTATGTTAAACATAAAAATAAATAATAGAATGTAGTTTTAATTAGTAAAAAGGGGTCTAACTCCTAAAAGGAGTCTAGATTAGTCTAATCTAGTCTAAAGATTTTAACAAAGAAATATTATTTTTCAGGTGATGATTTGAAAAGGTAACTGGAAAACAAGTAATTTAATAAGAAATTCATCTACTCAAGGAAACATTTTATTAGGATGTCCAAACTTGATTACACATGAGATATTTGCAGTTTAGTGATCTCTTAGAGGTCAGCTTAGCCTTTCTTATCCCTTGAGGCTGACAACAGGAGAGGAAAATGGGTGTCATATTCTTTCCTATTCCCTCTTATGGGGTGGGGCCATCCAGGTCTTCATTCTGTCACTCTTATAAAGCTTGTTTTTCCATAAATCAAGTTTACACAAGAATAGCAAGAATAATAGTTTCATTAAGACACAGTATTCCCTTCACAAATATAATATATAGTAATATATTAGAAGTTTGAAGTGTTATTATCTAAGAACTATTAATATTAAATGAGCAGATAGGCATTGTGACTCTTAGAAAAAGACTAGCTGATTTCTTTAAATAGCTCAAAGACATTAAAATTTCCATATCTATATGTGTTATTAAAGCAGTGAAATTGATCACATCACTTATATTACTGGAAAAGCAAATTTAGATTATGATAAATGCTGTTTCCCAGGAGATCTACCCCATGTCTGATATATTAATCAAGGGTCACAAAATAGTAGAAATGACCCAATTCAAAGTCCTGTTTTTACAGATAACAAAGGTAAGGCCTAGAAAGAGGAATTATATTCCCATGGTTACACAGGCAGTGTAGAGCCTAGGTTCAAACTATGTCCGCTCATAGTGAATCGTTTTCTGCTCACAGAGCCATGTCTCACTCTAACACAAAGCTCTGAAATCTTTACTTTTCGAATTTAGGCTTCCTAACTTAACCCTCTCTGTCACTTCAATCAAAATGTCTATGGGTTTTCTCGATGCTTACCCTTTGTTTGAAATGTTTTTCACTCTAGCAAATTTTTCTGAGCAAGTCTTACCTCACAGACTCTGATGACTATGTGAAATGAAAATTTGTGCTGATAATATTCCACCTTTGTGACACTCCCGGAACTTGTTCCTTTTCTTGTAGTTTATATGTATCGTAATTTGCTCATCCTTAAGAGCCCATGTTGTTCATTACCATAATCTCAATGGTCAGCAGAGCACTTATTCTCAGTGGATTTGGATCAAATGAACAGATGATTACATTTTAATGATAGCTTAATTAATAGTCAAAATTACCTTGAAATTAATTTTGTTTCAAGCTTGCTGTTCCTCTACTTTTGAGAAAATAGGCTCCCTGTACTGGCTAAATATACCTATAAATAGAGAGGTCTTTTTTTTCTCCCACTAGGAAAACATTACACACAATCACTTCTAACTAACTTGTTAACAAAAGCGTCTTAATTTATTTTTTTAAATTTATTTTTAGGTGCAATAATGAGGAATTTTATCATACTTGTGAATATTCTGGCATTAATTCTGCCCTTTTTGGTAAGTTAATTTCAATTAAATTTTATTTGTAAGATGTTAAATAAAGTTTATTTAAGAGTTCCAATTGTATTAATATCAAAATAGAGGCACTTCAAGGAGTATAACAGTTGGTTAATAGTTTTGTTTACTTGTATCATGAAAATAAATATTCTTCCAGATATCTATTTAGTTGTCATAATACATACTACATTGTTCAAAAAAAGCCTTCCAAATTCCTTTACCATAGAAATCTGTTTTTAAGTTAGAAAATGCTGTAAATATAATTCATATTAAGTAAAGGAATCCTAGTTCAGAATCAGAACGATGAAATTCTGTCTCTCCCATCCTCCAGCCTCCTTAGGGACTAGATATTTAACGACTTTAAATACTTAATATTTCTCATGATTTCTCTTTCTGTAACTCCTCAGGCTGCCAAGGGGCAAAACCCAGATCCCGCAGTAAGTTAATATTATCTGTATTATGGCTGTGAACTCTTAAAACTAAATAAATACTTAAATGTTACAACAAGTTTAAAAGATCTTCAGACATTTTAGTACTCACATTAACTTTTGTGTCACTCTTTCTTACTATGTGGCCTAGCCAAGCCTCTTTCCAGGTATCCATATCCATAATTAGTTCTATGGCAGGTAGACATGGAATTATATTTTATGTTTAAAAGTAAATCATGCAAAAGGGTGTTTTTGTTTAACTTTTTAACAAATTTCACTGCAGTTTGGACTATGCTTGTACTTTGTTTTCACACTCATCGTGTAATTCCGAGAAATGCATCTACCAACACCCAAAGTGTGGGGGGGGCAGCAAACAGTGTGTGCTCTCTTGTTAGGATGATTAATTTTTAGAGTACAAAGCATTCTATTAAATTATTAGATGTGAATAGTCGTCTATTAAACAATACTTTTGAGCCAATTCCTGAGGTCAAAATAACCTTCAAAATTTTACTATGAGTTTAACATTTAGTTACTTTCATTGACTTCTTGAAATTATGTTGTTGTTTTCTTGTGGTCAATTGCATGTTAAGAACTTGGGTTTTCTCTTTGAGTAATAGGAAGTAATTTTAAGTCATAAGATGAATCCCTTTCTGCTCTACAGCAATTCTTGAATTATTGAGCCTACTTTATAAGAAACTCTCCTTCCTGATTTTTTTACTAAGGGTTTTTAATTAGTGAACATTAATTACACATAATAATGCGCTTCATTATGACATTGACATACATATGCAAAATGTATTTCGTTCACACTTGCCCTCATTTACCCTCTTGTCACTCCTACTGATCCACTTTCTATTCTCAAAAAGTCTCTCTTCTACTTCCTATCTATTTTTAACTTTACTTTTCTTATTCCTAAAGTGTTATATGTGTAAACAACACATAATTAAGATCATTCACAGTGGTATGTGTAAAAGGTCATTTACATGAATGTGGGCAACTTAGCAGTGGCCTTGCCTCTGAAGACATGCCTCTTCAGAGGTTCTGTTGTTTAATACTTCACACTGGAGTTAGAAAATGCTGGTTCCTCTCCCAGTAACCATTAATTACCAACAGGTTCTCAGGGACAGAGAAGCTTTATGAGCCCCCTCCATGCTCGGTGATGGAATTTAGACAGGCTGCATCTTGTGCAGATCTTGTATAGACAATCATAGCTGCTAAACTTCCAGAATACAAAAGCTTCGTCCTGTCTAGAAGATACATTCACAAAGGCTTCAAGCCACAAGAATATGATGAAATAATTCAAAGGGAAAGAAGTTTATAGATTTTAACATTCAATTTATGATCTGTCAAAAGCAGTGATACTGTCTTTTATGTGCCAATTAAAAACTTATATCAATATAAAAATGAGTATGATATTCACCTTGTCTTTAATACAATAGTGGAACAGAAAACAAACAACAAAAGAGAAAATCTACTTTGATTTTTCTCCCTTGGTATTTCTCATTATTTTTTCTCTAACCCCTCAGATTGCAGAGGTGCATATTCAAGAAAAACTGGCTGTAAGTCTATTTTCATTCATATAACTGAATATAATTTATGTAATAGTCTGCAAAGAGGAATGCCTTCTGATTAAAATCTAAATAAATATGTAATCTCCACAGAATAAACAAGTACCTTTTGATAAGTGAAAACACCACTTAAACAAAAGATAATATGATAATAAATAAAACCAAACTGGGTGTTTGTCTGACAGCCTTAGTTTCTTTGAATAGCCCAAGTTGTGAGGGCCCAATGAATACAATTTGGCTTGTGAGTCAATTCCACATGTGGAATACTTAAAGGAAAAAAGAACAAAAGTAGAATTTAATCTCTGTGCACTTCCTAAAGTTCAGTTGGAGAAAACTGACTCTTCCTTAAGCCCATCTCTTTTGCTCATATTGACATCTCCTTCTGTTCCAAAATGTGTTCAAATTAATGCAATTTACTTTTACAGGAAAAGTTGCTATGCAGTATGATTTTGTAGGTTCATTAATATCGCTATAGAAAAGTGAATCAAGCACACATGGTTGGCAGAAATAAATAAAATCAGAAAAGTCCTCAATGGAGACAAAAAACTAAAAGTTTTTAAGTCCAAATTTAAATTTAAAACATCTTCCTCTGTTTTATTATTCTGTTATAAAACATGCCATTTCTCAGGCTAATAACATTTATGAACAATTGTCATTTATGAAATAAGATACATCCCTATATGTGTCTGTGAACCTTATTTGTGTTTGCATCTAATGGTTAAAGTTCTCTATGAGACTGCTCTAGCAACTGTATTAAACATGTAAAGTCTAAATAGTACTATCCATATACACCATACTTCTATAAAGTGAAATGTATTTTCCATTATTAATTACCTAATTAATCATAAAGAGTTATATTTATTATTGTACATAACATTTCTATGTTGTTACAAGTAATGTTATAATGTTTCCAGCATCAAAAACATACATTGAATGGGAAATGTGAACATACAAATCTGGCAAAAAATAATAATATAGGATCCTATACTTTCATTTCTCTATTCCTCATCTGCATTATCTCAAAAGTTTTCTTTGTATTGTGATCTACAATTAGAACCTCTCTGCACAATTTTTCCTTTCTCCAGTGCCACAAGAAGGATGAAATATTGTATGATCAGAAAAGAGTCCTGCCTACACCAGTTGGCTATGTGCTGAACAGCAATTTTCATTATGAACCTAATTATTACCACCATACACCATCTGTAGCTATCACTCCATATGTACATTACCTATTTATTATAAAACTACTTCTGCTTAGATCACCACCCCAAATCTCCCAATGGCAACTAAGGCCAAATTTCCCCCAGCCTACTGAGGTACCTCAGGCAATTCCAAGTCCATCCTTCCTTGCCATTCCAAAAAATGAAAATAAAGACAGCACTGCCACCCCAACCATCAATACAGATGCTCCTGCTGAGTCTACAACAGTTCTTATCACTGAACAAGTGACAACTGCTGTGGCCAATCCAGAAGCTTCCACTGTGTCCATCAATAATCCAGAAGCTTCCACTGTGTCCATCAATAATCCAGAAGCTTCCACGGTGTTCATCAATAATCCAGAAGTTCCCACGGTGTTCATCAATAATCTAGAAGCTTCCACAGTACCCATCAATGATCCAGGTGCTTCCACGGTGTCCAGCAATAATCCAGAAACTTCCATGGTGTCCATCAATAACTCTGAGACTGCCGCAGTTCCAATATCTTCACATGCAACATAGAACCACTAAGGAACCATCAAAGAAGACAATAAAGGTACATAAAATGAACAATCCAGACAGCAAGCAATGACTTACTCATACAATCACAAACTCTAACCTAGTAAAAGTAGATAAATTATGCTAAAGGAGCAAGCAAAATAGCTAACCAGGATTGTAATTTGGGGCAACTATAGCATTAACAAATTGGTCTTTGTTTCAGTAAGAAATGAGAACAGTCTGTTGTCACAAAATGAAGAATGTATCTTGAAGGTTATAATACTACTTTAACATGTTAATTTTGTGTCATCCATACTTACACATACTTAACTGAAATACTTTGTACACTCTCATGGCTTGGATCTAAAGTTACCAAAGTGAAATTTCTCCTATCATATTGTACACTAGAGCCACATTTAGTGTTGGGTCTATAATCTCAGATGCTAGGGAAATTGAGACTGGAAGATCACAAGTTTAAGACCAGCCTAGTCTACATAGACAATAGTCCAGCCTATGAGACTTAGCAAGATCTTGTCTCAAAATGTAAAAATTGCAAAAAGGGTAAGGATATAATTCAATGTAAATGTGTTGTATAACATGTGAGGCCCTAGGTTCAGTCCCATGTATAGAGAGAAATAGGGAGAGAGATAGAGAAAGAAGAAAAATAAATCTGTAATAGCACTGTTCTCACTCTAGCATTAGTATTAATAGGGTAAATAAAATTATATTTTTTTCATGAAGTTTTTTTTTTTTATTCAGACCTAACTCCTGGAAAGATCTATGAAGTTGGGCCCTCATTACTATTTTTTTTTATTAGATAAACAATGAAATAAGTAAAATACCTAACTTTTCAAATACATATATATTAATTAAATGGATACTTTTAGAATATTCAACATAAGGCACAATACTAGTAATTATTTGGGCAAACAGAAACTAAAGTCTAAAATAACTGTGAAATTCATAGGAAATTAAATAATGATAAATATTATTGGCATTTTTAAAAAACTCACAAAGGGGGAAATGCTTTGGAGAGAAAAGTATGAATGCTGAGTTTTGTTGTAACAAACTTTTTCTATTAGTTTGTTCTATTAGTTTGTTGTAACAAACTAATCTATCAAGCTGGCTGATATTGTATGGTCTCACATGGCAGGGAAGGTTCTATGATGTGAGGGACTGCTACAGGCTAGAAGGGGAATCTGCCTTCTCAGCATCTAGTCATTATTCTCTCTGGATTTTCATTTTATCATAACTTTGAACTCACACCTCAGGTAGAAATGTGGGTAAAAGTACAAACTGAGAGTCTGTTCATTTTTATTTTCAAATGTGGGCCCCTAATAATACACCATGTTTCTATATGGACTAATTTAAGAAAAACAAAAAACCACCTATGACTGCATTAGACTGTCATAGCTATAAATTGTGGTTTTAATTGCTATTTAATAATTTGTGCTAAGAAAGGGATGAAGGACTATTCAATATAGAGAGTTTTTGAAAATAAAATAAGAAATAGTACATATAGTTATATATGTTATTGATACAAATTAATTGCATGATTATGCTTTTAATGACATAATCATTGTTCAATAGCATGCTCATAACTCATGATTCTAGAGTCCTGAATTAAAGTGACTATGCATTATGTATAAAGAAACTTTAGTGAAGGATATTAAACGTTGTGTAGAACTTACATAAAGTGTGCAGCAAACAACAAGTCAATTTTATATATTTGAATTGAAACAATAGGATAAAGTTAGTGGATGTGGGCATAAAAGAATTCTTAGAAGCAAAAGAAAAGCTTATAAATATGGAAACTGTTAGCATGCTCTGAATGGAATTCCCAGACTATCTTTATTTTTTTCACAGGTCTTACAGAATCCAACTTGGAACTCTCCTTCAGGCATTTGTCTGCCATCATTCAAGAGAAAATGCAGTTTTCACAGATTCAGATCTTTTTCTTTTTTCCTTACATTATGTGTTTTTTTTTAATTCATGCAGAATAAAGTCAATGGAAAGCATCTTCTATCTTTTTAAAATTTGTGTGTGTGTGTGTGTGTGTGTGTGAGTGTTGCCCATGAATGCCACAACATGGATATGGAGGACAGAGAACAACCCACATGCATCAGTGTTCTTCTGCCATGTAAGCCCAGGGACTGAAATCAGATGTCAGGCTAAGCAGAATGTGTCTTTACTCACTTAGCAACCTCACCAGCCAATAACTGAATGTTAGTTAGTAGTGTAGCCTATGGCGATGCCCCAGTGAGCACTACAGACTTAAATTTGGTGTGATTTTGGATATACAGTTCACCTGTGGGCTAAGATCACAGTGGTCCTTGATCTGATACTAAGAACTGCCACACTGGATGACATTGGAATATCTGAGTTATGGTACTAGGAACAGAGAGGATCTAAGTCAGTCTTGCAAGGCAGAGAACCACCAAGTGACTCTTGTGACCATTAAATGCCCCAGAGCACAGGCATGCTATAGGCAAGTACAATTAAAAACAGCTAATTACAAAATTCCAGGACTTGATGGAGACTCTACAAACGCAAAACCAGTCTCACACATTATTCATCCAAAAAGTTTGTGGCCAAAAACACACACACCACACACACACACACACACACACACACACACACACACACACACAGGATGCTTTAGGATTTCAGATTCTCCTGTCTAAAAATGTTTGGTGCATTGCTTAAATTCTAACATAGGTTTTCCCTTAAGCAAATAAAAGTAATAAGCAGATGGTTGGTCAGCAACATGCTTGCAGGGCAAGCATGTGGATCTGAGTTCAATTCCCAAAAGCTATGAAAATGTCAGACAAGATGGTAGTAACTTTTAATCTAATCACACTCAGCACAGACAGAAATATCTCTGGAGCTCACCAGCCAAAATGCCTAGCCTCATTAGTGATTTTCAGACAATGGAAAACTCTGTCTCAAAGGAGGCAAGAGAAATTTCAAAGCATGAGACCTGAGATTATTATCATCAAGCTTCTGCACACATATTCAAATGAACTATGCATACATACATATATATATATGCATATATATATACACACACACACTCATATGTATACTTTTTTAATTACAAGGAAAATTAGAAGGTTGTTTATATTATTGATTTATATTTATGACATTATATGAGGGAAACATGAGTTGCCTAGGGAAGTATTTACGTATTACCAATCCAATCCAAAGCTACAATATTTTCACAAATGTGGTGTGATCCACAGTGACTTATGAAGGGACCCATATTCAGTATAATATACCCCAAGACCATGTTCTCAGCACAAAAGAGATTTATTTGCCACAGAGATACAAAGGGCAGAGATTAAGAGATAAAGAGAGAAGATAGAGTATGAGGGAGAATGGGATGGGAACTAAAGAAAGGGGAAGGTTATTTGTTCCAGAGGGTCAAAGAACTGCCTCTGGATAGAGAGGAGACAAATGTAGGACTCATAGTCAAATGGCAGTTTACAAAGGCAATGGGGGAAACCCTATATTAGGATGAGATGTTTAACTTTAAGTGGGCATGTTAATTAGGTGAGCCAAAGGGGGCTTCTGGTTGCTGAACTTCAATATTTTGATAGCTGGACTTTAGAAGTCAACATCCTGTGGAGGGAATGGCCAAATCAGGAAATAGACCTTGGTGGCTAGCTTTAGGAATATAATCTAATGGTTTTTAGAAAGACAGAGGAGATGGGGGAGAAGTACAGGACCTGCCAGAGCCATGTGATCAAATGGGCTGAGTCCCTTCAGACTGAATATTATTTTGTTGTTAAGAAAAAATGGAAGTGAATTTCCACAAATAGTTTTTAGACCTGCCCATATAATATTGCTTGAAAGTTCATATTCCTTAAAAGACACATAATCCCTTCAAACTTATAATGGCTCCCTCTATTATGTTCTCTCTCTCTCTCTCTCTCTCTCTCTCTCTCTCTCTCTCTCTCTCTCTCTCTCTCTCTCTGCTCTTGCTTATTTCTTCCCCGACTCAATCTTCCTAGCCCCACATGATTTCCTCTCCTCCCCTTCTCTTTCTCCTAGCTCCCTCTCCACTCACTGCCCCCCCAATCCCAATATGCTCAGGAAATCTTCTTCCATTCCCGTTCTGTGAGGGACCTTGTATGAATCTCTTAGATTCCTGTCATTGGTGTTTCTAATTTTATCCATTCTGACAGGAGTCTAGAGAAATGTCCAGAAACCTACAAGGATGACCCAACTAACAATCTGAGCAACAGTGGAAATGCTAGCATAAATGCCCTTCCCTGATAATGAGATTGACGACTAACTTATCTGCCATCATAGAGCCCTCATCTAGTAGCTGATGGAATCAGAAGCAGACACCCACAGCAAAACTCTGAGCCAAACTTCTGGAATCTAGTTGCAGAGAGGGAGGAGTGATAAGAAAATGGGAGCAAGACCAGGCTACAGAAACAGGTGACTTGGACAAGTGGAAACTCAAGGACACCCAGACTGATAGCTGAGAAACCAGCATTTTGTTAACTCAGACTCCCTGAATGTGGTTCTCAGTTTGAAGGCCTGGGCAGTTGAAAGGACATCTGACAGTGGAACCAGGATGTATTCCTGGTGTACAAAAGTACTTTGGGAGTACATTCCCAGTGGAGGGATACTCCCTTAACCTAGAGGCAGGAGGTAGGGCCTAGATCCTACTCCAAATGACTTGACAGATTTAGATGATCCCTCCTAGAAGGCATCACCCTCCTTGTGGAGTTTGGCGGGGGCGATGGGAGGGAGAGGGAGCTGGTATCGATATGTAAAATAAGAATATATATATATATATATATATATATATATATATATATATATCAACCTCTAAGATACTACAATAGCTGCTTCCATTGGCAGCCTCACAGCCACCAACATTAATATTGGGGTAGCAGCTCAATTTGCAACCACATAGAAGTTCTCAAAACTATGACAACTACTCAAGGAGTGACCACTTCTACACTAAGTACTGGGACAAATAACATTTTCTGCCCATAATGTCACCACTG